TTATGCAAATTCTGTCTTTGTTGTAATACAGGCGCTGGTAAGTAAAGCACTCCGCGTTCTATTTTAGTACAAAATGAATTAACAATGGATTTTACGTTGCATCCTTGTAGTGTCAATAGAATAATGTAAAAATACGACACATTGTCTGGGTGCCGTGTTACAGATATATACATATAATGAGCAAGGGGGATTACAATTTGCCTTTGTGACGGCGTCGTCCAATTACATTAATCTGGCGTAGTCGTGCCGCCGCGGCGCCGCCGCAAGCAACTTGATTAAAAATTCTATTAGTTGAAAAGCACAGACATCTTCTTAATAGATAAAGTGCAGTTTGCTAGTGCTGGTGACTTACGTTAACCATTTTTAAAATCATGGTCCTATTACTTTTAGTGCACCAAGTTACTGCAGAAACATATTTTTATGTTAGAATAATTCGCGCTACGATGTTTCATACATTTTTTATACCATTAACAATGAGAATTACTAGTTAGGTCTGTTTGTAGTGTTTCTGTATCTTTCTTTCTCATGGTTAAGCGTATCAGCGTAAACATTTCAAAGCAAATTTGATGATTACAGATTAATCACTCTATTATATTGAATATACTAGATTTTCTTGCTAATGGATATTAGAACAGGAATATTGCTTTCACGGTACCTGTCTTTTGCACACCAGAACCATATAATTGTATCACATTTTCAGTCTACCACCTTTCTACAAAACTCAACCATCTGAAAACTAGTTAGGGCTTAGTATAATGTCATTAATTGAATATAACGGCGCATCGTCACCTTGATGTCTTAATCGTTACAGTCTGAAATCTGTATAAAAACAATATTGGCGCGCGGCGTACCGTAATGAACGCCCCGAGCGTCGAACGTTGTCGACGCCTAGAACCGGGAAGATGTCTCCGAAACTCGTCTGTTACAATTAAATTGTATCTAATCTTATACAACCTAAAATGGTAGGGAATATTATTACTATGAATATAATATACAAACTGTATTCTGTGTTTTTCGTTAAGATTTTAAGTGAATGTAATTTTATAGTATTTTCCTTAAATATTAGCCTCATTATTCATTTTTATTGACTATAATAATAAAAAAAAATATTTTTCATACTAGTAATAACATACAATAAGCACAAGATAGTGTGTGAAACAGTTCCAACGAGCAATGCACAGACCAACAACAAGACCTTTCAATTGAGGCTATGTCATACTTCAAAGTAAACGAGTATGACAATGTTCGTTTATTTTATATCTTCCATCCACTTTAAACGAAAACGGCCTCTTTCTATAAATTGTGGTAAAACGTTTACTGGGGAATTGTTCTTAATAAGTACACAGTGGAGTCTCTGTAAGTCGCCGACGTTTGTCTAAGCTCTTTGTCAATAGGCAAACATTGTTTGAACAGTGGTTCAATGGTGTCTGATCACTTTTAGTTTTCGACTCCTAGTTAAGTGCTTACCTATAGTAAAACGTACCAGTAACTCTAACCTAGTGACAAAATCACATTTTGACAAACAAATTTATATTTTTATATTATTCTTTGTTTTCGATACAAAGATCAATTTTATATTATTTCTGTTCGCCTATGTATGGGTAGGGATTATTAATAGTTTTCCCAAATTGAATATACCATATAAATCTTGGACCAAATAATCCAAGAAATATTCAAGTATTTAAATTATTTCTTAGATTTTTTAGCCTATTGGCCAATCTCAGTATATTGTGAAATAATAATAATAATAATAATAATAATGTATGTAGTATGTTGCCATCTCCTCTCCTTAAGAGGGGAGATGAGAATTTTTGGGAAAAAAAAAATAATAATCTCAGGACAATTCACACAGCGCCATCTATACCCAAGTTAAGCTAACTAACGCTTGTGTTTTGGGTACTAGACAACTGATACAAATACATAGATATTTTTTTTTCGTAAATACATACATATTATACATAGAAAACACCCAGACCGATACAAACAATCATCGAATGCAAAGAATAACCGCGACCATAGAATAGAAGGCTAATAACGAAATACAGAATAACATTAGAATAGAATAGAATATAGTATGTATGTATGTTGTATAGGACTGTATTCTATAGGAGACGAAAGAACAAAAATGACATGATATCCATTAAACAAAAAATAATTAAAAAAAGAACCACGAAAATAATGTAAACATATAAATTTAATTAACAACATCAGGAATTAATAATTAAAATATTACACATATATCTACAATATTTACTAGATAAAGCACTGATTATTCATATTAATAAGATATTGTTAATTGGAAAGGAAAGCCTCTAAAATCAACACGAAACAAAATATTTATATAAATAACAAAGAGAAAGCAGAACCTCGGCTACTGGTGTATCAGTAGTTTAGAAATAAAACGACTAAAACTGGTTTAATACAGCTGGGGATTGTGTACACAGTATGTATCGGCGTTAACACTTGTATTGTCTTATTGGAATGCACGGGCATTCCTGGCTAGATCTGTCAAATGCCTCCATTACCGCATTGATTGGATACGTATTCAACTTAACCACATTTCGATAAAATACTATTCACTAAATCTCGATGGCATTATATGAATTGTTCTGTGTTAGTATTATCATTACTTTTTATTACTCATTAGGTCTACAAAACTGGATGTCTTACAAAGAATATAATTTTACACAGATGAAATAAATCCTAATAGATATGGACTGGTATATTGTTTAATTTTTACAGACATAAAATGAAACTATATAGTAATAATTCGGATTAAATCTTTCTTGTACATATTTTAAATATAATATTACTGACTGTTGCACTGAAATATGTGGCCGACATTATTGTAATTCTCACACATCCCATAACTCTATACTTGAGAAGATTAAAAGATTTTTCGGTGGGCAGTCTGCTGGATGTTCGTCGAACTACTATAACATTAAATATATAAATATATACCAAAACGTATTATAACACAGGATCAGTTAGAAAAAATCAACATGACCATAACCTTAAATCGTGTATTAGTACTACAAAAAATGTTTCGAATTTGGCCGAATGTGTGCTGAAATTTGGTATCGGTGGTAAAGCCTACTTTCGGCCAGACATTAATACTTTGTATATTTCCAGGCAAACAATCGACTTCGACAGTTTACTTGTTGCGGCATTTAACCGGCCGATACTATCTGCATAATGCGGTCGTCAGTGTTGGCGTGGTGCGATGCTTTTGCCTCGTTATAACCGATTTACATTTTAACCGCCCTCGCCCGTAAAGTCTATTTTGTATAAATTAATTTACAACCCAATTTCGCATTACCGACTTAAGAGCATGTGTTGAAACAATTAATAAATCATGACATTATTAATTAGAGTGCGTGATTCGCGCACCCACTCAGCGATCGTATAAATCGCTGTACACAGTTCGTTAGATATTCAAACAATGACTTCATTAGCGCTGTAATCGCTGCGGTATTCAACTACAGCTGTGGACTTTATAGTAAATTAATACCAAAATAGATAGCTAGCGATGTCCATATGTGGTCACATGTCAGTATCATCCCAATTAAATAATGTTGTACGCCCAAACATTTACAGAACTAAGCTTTTTATCGTCATACCTTTAGCCTTCTACTGGTTTTTATTACTTAATCAACACTTGTATTACTTTTGTACGAAAAAATTAAACTGACGTATTAAAAGAGTTAGTGTAATTTCAATAGTCGATCTAAAACCCACTTTAAGAAATTGCGTTTACTTTATAGGTCAAGTATACAGCTTTTGATCAGGCAATCCGTCAGCTGGTTAATATTTCAGCTGTATAAACAAAATTATCTTTTGTTATAATGAAATATTGGTGTTAATATACCATTTCATGTGATGATATCAATTGCCACTACATTCATTCTAATTAGAATAATCCAAGTATGATTAACTAACGATACGACCATTAAAATTTAATATAATAAAGTAATAGTTGTTGTCACGGGGGAGATAATGTAGGCGCTAGCTGTCACGAGGGGTCGCGTGCGCGTTTTCCGCTCAACGCTCGCTGTTCGAGCGTTCATCGTCACCGGTGTTACTAGATGATTGTTTTACTTTCTTCACAATTTTTAATAAAAACTTCCTTAATTTAGTTACTAGTAATGACCAATTCACATTTAATAAATCTTACTAATGTTTTTCATGTTTTTATTTTTTCTATCAAGGCAAAAATGTCGTATATTTTCTGGTACTGCACCTCGTATGCAAGTGTACAAAAAAGGAATACTTAAAAGGAACAGGAGTACCTTTTTAGTACACCTGCATCGCTCTGTCTATTATAACTACTCAGAAGTCCATTCAGAAGTCACAAACCCTCACTTCGCCTTACATAATTTATTTCTCTATCATATATTCAAACATTTTCCCCCACCAAATTAATTCCATCACCATAACATTCTATGTAAGGGAAAAAACTTCTATCTAACATCACTGGTCGTGCTCTAGCGTACTGCGTGTTTGCAAACCACCAAACCACCTGCAAATAGTCATAGTAAAACGTTATAAATATAATTACGCTGTGTTTAATTAAAACCACATTTAGTGGCAAATATTATCAAAATTAATTGATTTAAATTGCTTTCAATTTCCTTTTAATTAAAAAAAGACATTAACAAAATGACAAGAATACTATAAATAGATAGTAATAGAGTTTTCTACTTAAAGAATAGGTACATACGTTGTGTCACTTTCTAAAATTCTTATTTTCATTCTTGTTATAATTTAATATTGTTACCAAAAATTATTATAAAAATTTTATCACGGCCTTTTAATCTCACATAAAACAGACACTGCATACCAATTTATTACAAATACTATAGTTTGTGAAGATGAAAAGATGAATGGGTCTTTGTTACTTGCGTCACTGAAAAATACACTGTAAATAAGGCCATAGCACTAGAACAATAAATACTACAAGTATATGTTTCAATAACTAAATGTATTTTTTTTTGTTACAGATCATATACGGGAATTCTCTTGTGGTAGTCTCTTCTACAGAACTCTCTACTTAAATGAAGAGGGGAACACCTTATACGTTGGTGCTATGTAAGTGTTATTTATAGTTTTATAATTTAAACCATACGTTCGTATAAAGAAAACTCGTTGTATGTGACAATAAAGCAATAATTCTTAATTCAACCGGGCCATGGAATCGTGTGCAGTGAAATATCTCACAAAGTCGTAACCACTCAACACAGTGGGTAATACGAGAATGTCAATAAATCCTTTGTGCAGTGAAATGCTATAAACGCCGCTAACTCTGGGACGTAATAAATAAATGAAAGCTCAATTTGCTTTGTCTCATTTACATCGTAAACGGAAGATAATAAAGTATATTTTGTTTTTAAATGTAGATTGCATTGCATAGTCAATTAAAATGAATTGATATTTTAAAAAGTGACCTGGGCATACACTAGTGAATTTATTACACATTCTCATCAAAATAATTTTTTTTTAAAAAATGCGTAAAAAACATAAATGTTAAAAGTCAATAATGTAACTAAAAAATTAAAAAAACAAGTCAGTAATTTGTGTAATAACTATAAAAAAGGAAAACAAAAGAGAGATTCTATAGGCTTTTTACTGTAATGGTACAGAACGTCGGTAAAAAGTAGACAACTAAGAAATATTTTAGTGACTAGGATAATACGACCCATCGGGCTATTCTGCTTAATTTATACAGCTCGTTGAACACCAACTTGAAGCAAATAAAATAAATACAACGGTCGCATTCTGTGCATATGCTCCTCTGGCCACAGAAAGTGGTATTCATTTCATTCCGCTGCGGATTGTCTAGTTACTCTGCAACACTTTTTTTACTTCCAACGATTTAAATATAGCCTTTAGCTTTTTCTCGACTTCAATAAATTTATTTACTATAAGCTGTTTTATATTTTGTTACAGGGATCGAGTGTTCAAATTAAATATGACAGATATAAGTCAGTCTCATTGTGAGGTACGTTTTTTAAACATAATATTAAATTGTATTGTGCTGACATATGATTGCTACTATATACTTTTTATTAAAAGAAAAGAAATTATTAATCTATCCAGTATAGAATATAAAAGTGTCCACTAACTTTTTACAAAGAAAGTAAAATTTTGAAGCAAAGAAAACATTCTGCTAATGTTCTTTAGAAAGGAAGGTTTTACAAAGCCATTTATTCTTACTACACTGGATGTTTAATGCATCTTTCCTTCACATAAGGTTTCGTAGTTTCCTACGCCAAGTGTCATGAGCTTTTTGAAAGGCAAAACTATGTAAGCGTTGCATTTTATACTCGCAAATTTCACTGTTGTTTCAGTAATTTTATTTTACATATTCTAGTACCTACCTGTGTTTTCTGTACATAACACGATTTCATACTATATTTCTAATATCTATACCTCCTTCAATTATTTAGCTAAGGCTAACATATCGGGACTAATATTTTGGGTCAGGTCGTCTATAGGTATGGATAAGGTATGTTTTTGGCTACAAGACCGCCATTTGTGATGGACTTTTTTATCATACTGTTTTTCTATTTGTTATCTGCAATTATTATTATTCAGCTAATTAAGACAAAAGACAATAGATTATATCTAATTACGTACGCATATCTATGGTGTGAAGTGGTCAGGAGTAGTTGCTTACCTAAAATAGTCTTATAGGTAGTACAAGGGATACTAAATGTTCTTTTCACTTACAGAGAGACGCTCTATTACTAGAAGCTAGTAATGTCGCACAGTGTGTAAGCAAGGGCAAGTCGGAGCCATTTGAATGTCGGAATCACATCAGAGTGTTGCAGCCGCTAGGTGACGGCGAGAGGCTCTATGTATGTGGCACTAATGCCCACAATCCAAAAGACTGGGTAGTTTATGTGAGTATCGTTTAGAGTAAATATGCTATTTAATTAGTTGAAGCCTATTGTACATTCCTAACTATATTTTTACGAAGGTTAAGATCCTATATTTTTAGGACCCATAATCCCTATTAATTTTGTCTTATAAAAACAGTTATCTATAAACATTGTTTACCAAAACACTATTTTAATATCAATAATATACTCGTATTAGAATTATTTACTGACTATTACGCATCTCTTAAACGTTCTTTCAAAGCCACAACAGTACTGTTCAGTGCGCTGTTTGTATTTTGAATTTAGAATCGCATTAGAACTTCTTTTCTTATATGGCCTTCACCTCGAAACATTGTGTAAACTATGTTCGAAATTTGAAACTCGTAATTGTATTGATTGTATGCATTTTGATCATAATATATACTTAAATTTTCAAATTTCGAAATGACATTTGTAAATTCAATATTCTTTTTATTATATATATGATGATAAACATCGTGTTTGTAAATATCCTTTACTTCAACAGTTGAATTTGACACATTTACCCCGACATGAGTACGTGCCGGGCGTAGGTCACGGTGTTGCAAAATGCCCCTACGACCCGGCGGACAACAGTACAGCTGTGTGGGTCACGCGGGGCAACCCTGGTGGGCTCCCCGCTCTATATGCCGGAACCAATGCTGAGTTCACTAAAGCGGATCCAGTAATATTTAGAAACGACCTTTTCGATTTTCGAACGGGCCAGAAGAAATTTAACTTTAAAAGGACTCTAAAATATGATTCCAAATGGTTAGACAGTGAGTATTTCAAATGTTTTTAATAAATAATTAGTAAAAGTTTCATTTTCATAATTACTTTAAAAGTTTAATATCGCTAGAAACGATAGAATAAATAATAGATAGTAGTTTTAACGAAGACATCTTGTAACACATTATATAAAAATATTCCATTTACTAGTCGGTAGATTGAGAATATAAATCGTATTTTCATAGTACAAACAGAATTGATTTCACTTAATCTTTACAGAAACCAACTTTGTCGGAGCGTTTGACGTTGGAGAGTACGTTTTATTTTTCTTCCGTGAAACGGCAGTGGAGTTTATGAATTGCGGCAAGGCGGTTTATTCCCGAGTCGCGAGAGTATGCAAGCACGATACAGGAGGGAAGCATATACTGAGCCAGAACTGGGCTACTTATTTGAAAGCTAGACTAAACTGTAGTATACCTGGCGAGTTTCCTTTTTATTTTGACGAAATCCGTGAGTACTTTGTCAATATTTTTTTCTTAATCTATTATCCCTGCAAAAATTCTCATTTATAAAATATTATTACTATTAAATAAGACATCCATTTAAGATGAAATGAAACACAAAATTGTTACAGGATTACTGTATAAATTTTTCCAAGAATAATTTTCATAGAACAATTTTTCTTTTACTCGATTTTCCGTTAAGACGTCGTTAATCTCTGAAGTTTCTTATAATCTTGTTTAAAGTACTTATAGTGAGTAATCTATAGCTATGACTTCACGTTATGATTTTTATAGAGTAAATAGAAAGCAGTATAGAAGTAATTTTTTGTTGTAATTACATATTGAGTTTTGTGTCCTGAAATTTATTGCCTGACAATTATAGTAGATTGTATAATTTACAAAAATATATATATTTTTTTAATTGAATGATGTAAATTGTTTGGTACCTACTAGAGAGTGTGTATCAAATGCCGGGAGATCCGAGTCGGTTTTATGCGGCATTCACGACGGGCGCCAGCGACGGTCTTGTTGGTTCAGCAATATGTACCTACACAATGGATGACATACAGGAAACTTTTAGTGGCAGATTCAAGGAACAGGTTAGAATTATTGGCATTCTATCCATCTATTTTATATAGAATTATCATATTTATTGGTTTGTTATCCATTACATGTTTTTGTCATTTTTTAGCCACGCGCTTGTTATTAACTTGTTTATACTTATTAATCATCAACTTATATGGCAATTAATAAAAAAAAAATATTTTATTTTATATTAGCTACATATACTATTTTACAGAGTTTAATCCATTTTTGAAATACGTTTTCCATTAGTTTAGATATATTTGTGTATTGTACATATGTAATTTGCGCAGGCGACCTCTAATTCAGCGTGGCTTCCGGTGCTGCGGGCCCGCGTTCCCGAACCACGTCCTGGTACTTGTGTCAATAACACAGAAGCACTGCCCGACAACGTACTCAATTTTATCAGGTAACTGTGACTCCACGGGTCAGTCCTATCTCTAGTTTCTATGGGAATTTTAAAAATGTTTTCCGAGTGCCTAGTATTCAATAAATCTGGTTGTTAGGAATGGTCTTTAATGATAGAGATAATATTTTGTATACTTGTATTTACTGTACCCACATATAAAGGTCAACATTCGCATCAAATTTCTACATAATTATATGAAACATATACGAGTATTTATTTAGACAAATAGGGTAAATAGTTTAAACTTCATTAACATATTACATTTACCCAACGTTCATTTTCCACGAACTTACCGAGATAACTCATATTACGAGTTCTATATTTTCATATTTGGGTCACTAGGTAGGTACACTTTAATATATGAATAAGAAAGATGATGTAAAGTTAAAAATTGTTTATAGTTGAAGCTGAAGAAATATACAAAAGTTGGAGGAAACTATTCAAATGAGTTACTGTTTTTATTTTATTAACAATTTGATACTTATACCGGTATTATTCCGTAATATGTACATATAATTTCATATCGTATACTAATCGGTATGAAGTAATCATCCGTTAAGAAGCTAGAGGCCCGTGACAGACATACAAACATCATTCACACAACATCAGAGTTCAACGGATACGTAAGACAAACATTACCTACCCGATTTGAGTATTAGATAAGTAAACGTTATTATTTGTTTAAAAAATATTTCGAAACACGACATTGATGTACCTATAGAAATCGAGGTACGGATTAAAAGGGAAGTTAAATCTAAATTGTTTTCCGTATTTTTGTACGCCATTCACGTTCAAATGGACATAAAGCTTTTTTGTTTGCATTTGACGCTATTAACCCCGGTTAAGTTCCACGGGACATTAAGTGCGAGGTTGAAGTTGGACGTATTATGTCAGTGCTTCAAATCCAATGATGCGCGGACGGTCCCATTGTTACGCTGGATATGAAGTGCTATCCACTTAGGTAATGCTTATATCTCATGTTTAATGCTGAACTAGATTTGAGAGTACCGCTCTTATTAGTTTATGATACAATACGTAACTAATTAATACCTTCAAGGTCATATCCTAATGAATTCGGACACCTCTTGTGTGCTATTGGAATAAAAAGTATAAATATGTGTTAGTCTAAGCAATAATATTTGTCTACCTCAAATTTCACTCCAATCCAATTTGGTTATTTTTGCACGGAAGTATAATAACTAATACATAAGCACACCTATCTATCCTCATTTTGAATAGGAAAGGTTGTAAATATCTATTTATTATCAGGTCACATCCACTCATGGACTCGGCAGTACGGCAGGAAGGAGATGCGCCTGCGTTTTATAAGAGGGACTTGGTACTTACGACGCTGGTCGTTGATCAACAATTCGTCGACATGCTGAGGGATGATATCACGTACACTATATTCTATGCTGGCACTAGTAAGTCTGTACAATACTATAACTAATACTAGACAATAAATAAATAAATTTAAAACAATTTTAGTCTTTATGAAGTTTGGATTCGAACACTAAATTCTAAATTAACAATTGCTCTATTCCTCCATTCAATTGCTCTCCCTGGCTGTAATTATACTCAATCTACACGGTTTAGATTATTCTTACCACAATATACTAGTTTTCCTTATCGCACACAATGAGCTTTTTAATATTTCTGAAGAATTGTTATGATCATTAGATCATTAATTGATAAAGATTGTAATTTATTGTCAGACTACTCTAATGGATATAAATCTTATGATTTTATACTCTGTAAAAGTCATTTATTCATAATTAAAGAGACACGCTCTTGTCGATGGAGCTCTTGCCACTTTCTACGATTTTCATCATCGTCTTTAAATTTTGATACAACACGACTAAAAAATCAAATAAATTTATTTGCCTACGCATATTTCGAATAGTTTCTGTGAAGTGTTGCTTAAATTTATAGCATTTACAAGGGTTGTATTAAGTAATGTTTGAGATCAAAATCAATCTAATGTTTATTATATAATTAATTATATGTCAGTCATTATGACTGATATATAATTAATTTCTCGAATACTGTGAACCTTTGTAAATTACATATGTGACTTGTATGACTGTCAGCCACACCATGCTAACTGCGTCGAATATTACTATATGTTCATATTATACAAATAGATTTTTTCCACACCTCTCATGAGGTCGATGTACAGATCTCGACGATATATTGTTAAATTTACCCATTTTTACATTGGCAAATAAAGTATTATTATTATTATTTATTTTATATTCTCCAAATTATCGGTATTATAAGTTAGAGTTACGCGTCAAACTGTACTTGGTCAGTTTGACGCGTAACGCGTAACGCGTAATTCTAAATAACTTTATTTAAGTGTTTCTTGTATCTTCCTGCAAAAACATCGCAAGATACGACAGATATTAACTATTGCTGCTTTTTACATTGTAAATACGTATTAGCCAGTAGATTTAAGATGCTTGATTGCCACCATAGTAGTATAAAAAAAATATTTAAGATACGCAGGCTTGGTTGTAGGTTCGTTGATATTACATCAATAATGGTATTATTTCATCAGATGCTGGCGAGGTATACAAAATAGTTCAGTGGGCGGGTGGCGGTTCTCGTGTAGCGGATGTATGGAGGGCGGCTGGTACCGAACCGGTGCGTGCACTCGCTCTCTCTCGAAGGATACATGCCCTTTATCTTGCCACTGACAACCGTTTGAGGCAACTACCGTTACATGCTTGTGCACATCGGTAAGTAATTTACTTACTTTAGTATTTAAAAAAAAAGTTGATTGATCGTCTGTATATGTCTTTCTAATCTATTTCTCACGCTAATTATATAACATGTATTAGTGTATGTATGACAGTCAAATGATTTAGTAGGAAGGTATAACATCTTTCACACTAATATATCGAAAGGAAAAAAATACAAAGCATTAATATTACTAACACTAGTTCTGAATATTTAGTAACATAATCTACGAGTATCCACGGAGTATGAAACGTGTGTAGAACTAGTATTTAATATTCATATGACATTGTCAAGTAAAAAAGGCATAGGTATATGTTTTAGGGAATGTTAAAGATTTTGTCACCATTATAGTTTATTAAATCGATTAAAATATCCATACAGCTATGATAGCTGCATGCGCTGCGTTCTGGACCCATATTGCGGGTGGGATAAAGAAGTGGGGGCGTGTAGATCTTACGCCCCTGGTCTTCTGCACGATGCTACTAACTCCACGCCATCCATATGCGAAGCCAGTGCCCCTCTCAGAACAGTGCGAGCTGGTTATGGCCAGAGCGTGCATTTAGCGGCCTTCGGGAAAACCCCTGAGGCTTTTAAGGACCAGCACGTTATATGGTACCACCATTCTAGAGAGAAAGGCCGATATAAAATAAATTTCAAGTGAGTACATATAAATATATTTTAATAAATTTGGATCAAAAGGGATTGGGGGTTTTTTTACAGGTTGTCTGTTATGTATGTTTTAGCGATAAGACGAGCGTTTTGGTTTATATATTTACCAACATACTGTTTTTTTTCCTTTTTGTATCTGTATTTTGTGCGCAATAAAGAATTATTCTTGTGATCGTCAGCGACCACTTTTAAAATTACTAAATATTAGATATCATTGATTTATTAAATAACTGAGTTCTTGGCCAGACTAAAAAAAAATTATATACTTTGCCTCACAAAATAAATAAAAGGCACAATATTAATTTTTATATAGTTGGGAGAGAGTGTTGCAGACTTCGGAGCGTGGTCTCGTTCTGCTGACTGTGTCAGATTCGGACCGTGGACGTTATGAGTGCTACTACGGCCCCACACTTATAGCATCCTACAATTTGGACATAGATGTACACAGGTGAGAATTAACGGACGGACGACGACGGCAATCAAATGATATCGATGCATTAATAACACGTCAGACTTGTTTACTATAATAGAATTTACCTTATTAGCAAACTACTAGAATAGATACTATGATATTAGAACATACTCACCATTGAAATCGAAATCTATTATTAATTTAATTATATGATTTATTGGATGTTGCCTGCGACTTTGTATGCTTTTTTATACACACTTTATATCAATATCAATTTATCAGTTTTGTTGTGAAAAGGTAACAAACAGACAGACAGACAGATAATTTTTCCTATTATTTAGTATCGATAAATTATGACATTACTTACACGATTACCTAAAAACGGTTTCAACCAAGATAAATATTTATTTTAAATTAACTGTGATTAGGTTCGATTTCAACTCTCGATACATAAAATACTCGTAGTTGTGGTAAACTTCATGTTTTTAAATACTATCTCTCTATTTTGCAAAGATTATTATATTTCGATATATTATAAACGTATTGAAACACAATAATATTTAGAAAAATACCCATATAAATTATACCTGGTGGTCTTTTGTATTCAACGGTAGTTAAAATTTCAGAGACTTCTGTTTACATTCGGCATTGAGTATATCTGGCTTGGTACGAATCTGGACTATTCTCATTTCATATTCCACGAAAGTTTGCCTGCGACCGCATCGTGACAGACGTCACGTTATGTGCAATATTAAGTGTATTCCAAAGTAAAATTAATATTTCTCATAACTTCGCCTGTCTCCAGTTTAGTAATTAAACCTCAATGCCAGCAGTACGACCATAAAACTGTCTACATACTGGAGTTTTGAAATGTTTCATAATTCTATGTTTGACACGACACGACATTAGATTCACCCTTATCGCTCATGTATATTAAGTTTATGTCTCGGTTAGTAACATTTATATAAAAGCATATGAAATTCTTTAAATAGGTCTACATATAATTTTCAGTGACAGGGTCTTAAGTAGAATTTATGTTTGCGTAATGTGTAATATTGCGTACTATTTTTAACCGTAACATTAACAGCAATTTCTTTGTACAAATAGAAATTGACATGATCTCTTTATATGAATAAAAATGGATAAAATTAGAAGCTTTTATTATAAATATTTAAAATAACGTTAATTAAGCTCTTAACATTGATTATTATTAACTGTGCATTCAATCATCATTAAATATAGGAAAACCTCAAATTAGATAGTTTTCATGTCGGTTGAAATCAATATTAAAACTTTGTTAAAGTTAAATCTCAGTGAGTAAGCAATCAAGGCCGCGATATTCTGAATATTTAATTGTTACTCCGTGACATTAATACTTTAAGATCCTTTCATATATAATGTAGAAATTTCCAAAATTCTGTTAAACACTTGATTTAATAAAATATTCTATTATGTTTTTATAGTAATGAGTACTGTACATATTATAAGATTCGTTTGTTATTAAGAAAGCATTATTATACACCTTCTGCTGTATTTTAATCTTATATTAAATATTTCGGATCACTTCAGTTGAGTTAGGAGATAATATTTTCATGTCCTTTACTTTATCAAGGTGATTTTTATATACGCTTATACATATATAATATTGAATTTACAAATAAAAATATATAAGAACCAAACCTTCTCCTATTTTGATGTTGGTTCAAAAATTATTAATAGCCTAGCCAGAGGTGTTAAATTACAATCGTGTAAAGAAAATAATGGAAATTTTACTTGGTATTCCAAACCGAATGCCTTTACAGCGTTGTTACCGTAGCAAATCCTACTGTTATGAGACCATAGTTTAATAATATGATGATGGATTCAATCTAAGAACATAAAATGCCACACTTTGTAGTAGTCTGTAGGTATATTATAGAAAACAGCCATTGCAAAGCACCTTGTTTTGAGAGATGTGTTTCGGTTGTAGTGTCAGATTGGGCAGTGAAATTATAGGTTTGACATATTAGTATTTGGAATGCATGCAATAGCAATGTCAACATATCACGGGTATTACATGATAACGTGATGTCTAAAGTTTATGTGTAAAAGCGACAGTTGCCTCTTACCATCAAGTGAGCCATCAACTTGTTTGACATTCCAATTACATTAAAATAATCATAGAATATAATATTGTAAGCTCGTTGTAACTAATGAATAGACTAATATGAAATCAGTCAGAATGACACATGAATAGTTAATGTTAAACTGACATCCAGTAGAGTGAGTCTACAGTGTTAGTTATAATAAACACAATGGTAGAAGTATATTTAGACGTCACCATAAAACATGTTTATGTATTTGTAACAGGTGTACGCAGCCGAGTAAAACGCAGGAATACAAACAAGTCTACTCGGACTGGTGTCATGAGTTTGAAAAATATAAAAATGCAATGAAGGCATGGGAGACACGACAAATGGTAAGCCAAAATAATTATTCCTTATATTTTACTGTGTACTTAGTTGTATATCTTAATAAAATTATAAACGCGAAAGTTTCTGAGTATGGATGTTTGTTACTTTTTCCTGCAACTACTGAACAGATTTTAATGAAACTTTACAGTAATATACCCTATTCATCAGAATAACATTCATTCATTTTTCATTCATAATTTAAGAGCTGTGCTCTTGTAGGTGGAGCTTACAGAATAACATATAGGCTATATTTTTTATTTAAATTTATATACTCAAACTTAACGCTTTATCCCATTTCTTACTGTAAATGTAATTTACTAAACTTTATGCGAGGTTTTATTATTCCTATTTTCCTACATCTACTAAATTCTCTTATATTACTTCTTCTTATATATTATTTTCTCATAAACCATACATTGTCTTCAGTAATGTAAAGTCTAATGTCTTTACAGAATAGATAACTCATAGTGTATTATAGGTACTGACTTTTAGATCGTGAAAATCTATATTATTATAATATAAATACCAATCTCGTATAGTTATTTCAAAACAGAAAATGCGTTAATTTATATTTATCTCTAACACTTTTTTTATTCATGTCAACGAATACTACGCGTCTGTACTAAACTCTAGGAATCGAATGTTTCAAGGAGACGTAATCACGATTGACATATACATAGTACGGAACAAATTTTAATTCTAATTATAAAAGGAACCTTCATATGGTTTACAAACAAAATTGAAAACTACTTCAAGTCATTTACAGATTCTGTTACCATACGTGGCCATTTATCCTAAAATCATAAACCAGTAAAAAATCGTCGATATTGTCAGGTATTATCGAATTATCAAATAACATGTGTTTTATTTCCAAGAGCTTAATACATACATACATCCAATTTACTACTTTTCAACTTAACAATATTGAAGACTAAATAGCTTAGCAACCGTGCGTAGGTAATTATTCAAAATCGTAAAGGTTCATGAAATATTGTAACTATGTTTAAACTGGAATAATTAAAGTTTACTTTTATACTTCTTCGTTTCTAAATTATATACTATATTTATGTTGAACACCCACTTTGTACTTTGTACAATTAAAGAATATAAAGATATAATTAATAGACCACCGATAAAAATATTTTTAATTAGATAATTTTTTCCCGTAGTTTGTAAATTACTAATTTTCAAACGCTTCAGTTTCAAAGGAATTTATGATTAGTACCTGACTTTGAATGTCATATAAATCCATAAAGAAAATTTTATTATCTATATGTACGAAAATATTCATAAGCCGACGGAAATGTATAGCAAATATTGTATTTCTGACTTGTGTGACTGTTATTTGTTCTCATAGAAAGAAGATTAATCCTTTCTTTTATGTATTTCCTATTTCTGTTGCCAATGAGCTTTCCTGTTACGATATATTCCGGATTGAAGATTTGGATGTAATAGTAAAATTACTAGATACAAAGACTTACTCGGCCAGAATAATAACCTAGTTGAAATGAGTATAACTTTGTGCTGTTCATGTTTATAGCTAGAATATTTAACATTAAATGAGGTGGGCAATGAGGTAAGTTAAAAAAATCAATTTCTGATTGAAAAAGTATGTTTTATAAATTTCAGCAGTGCTCCAAAAACCTTAACGCATCAAGCCAGCAAAACAGTATGGCGAACGAGATCGTGGCGTCGCTGCGGTGATAGGGCACAGCTCTGTAGTGATTAATGAACGATTATGCACACCAAGCACCGCTAACATAAACTATCCGATATTTCGCCGACGACGCCCCACCCCCAACCATTGAACAAAACGTAGTTCCACTTTTTGTCGTCTTGCATTATTCTGTTCTGGTTCTGGATGTTGCGAGTTTTTCAGGCAGCCGAATGATAATAAAAACTTTTTACATTTTACCCGCAACGTCTTGTTTTTAAATGTTTGGTTTTAATATAATATTCTTATTTCCATTTTATTGTCGGACATTTATTAAATATTTTAAGCACTGTTATAGTAATATTACTCCAATGATGTTTTGAGTTATTAAATATCAAATGTTTCAATTAATTTAAATCGAGTACATGTGGTTGAGTATGAAATAAAGGGGATAATGTAGTGAGTGAGGGGATGATCTGTTAAAATAGATTTGTTGCTTGCTCCGACTGCGCCGTGTGATGGATGACTGACTTCTGCTCAACTTTGGTCGCAACTTTTTCTTTGGGAGCGGTAAGATAATCGACCGAACTAATATCGAGTAGTTTATGTTACGGATGATTCGTTGAGATTAATTGATAAATTATTGTTGATGAATGCGACTGAATAATAATTAAATAAGCATTGTGAAAAAAATGAAACATTAACAAATGAGATGGGTATTAAATGTATCGCCTTCGCGTCGGATCTCTATTGTAAATATATGATAGAAAGGATCGGGTCAAACTTATGAGGGTAAGGATCCACCTATACAAATTGCTGTGATATCAGTTTTCGCTGGAGTACTAATGTGCTGTCGATGAGATAAAAATAAAAAGCTTAATATATGTTTTCAATATAAAACAATGAAAATAATAACACTAATAATATAGGGCATTCATTTTAATAAGAATGTAATAGAAGTTGAGATAAAGTGATTATTATTTTTTATTTTTCTGTATATTAAATGAGTATACATTAAAATCAATGCCACAAGAAAATATTAGGTAATAAATGAGCAATATTAACGCCAATTTAGAACTAAGCATAAATCTAAATTGTATGATATTAGCTTCTGTTATACGATTAAAATGTTGATGCATAATGTTCCTAGAGTGTAAGTAATTTTTTTATGTGGCGACTACTCACGTCGCGTGTTGCTCCCTCTATTCCATTTAGATATGTACAAGTTGACTTCTGTACTTATTTTTTAAGTTTCAAAAATTGATGTTATCGATTATTTAGTTGCCATAAAATGTAATGTTATGCCTTACTTACTTCGGATGTTGAAACCGAATTTATTAATAAACGTTACGTTTTAGGTCCTTCCCATTAATTTTATCAAAAATCTCGCTAGTATAGTGCCTTGTGAAGCATGCTTACGGATTCGTAGAACTTATTAAATTAAATGATTAGATAAGAAATATTTTTGTGTACCATGTAAAGTTACGGAGTAGTTATAGTTAACAATTATAGTAGCAACGCATTTGGTAATTAAAGCAATAATGTTCCATGGAATTAAGGCGCCAGTATTAACTTTTGCAAGTATGCTAGAGTATAATAATATTTAGATGATATTAAATTGTAATTATTTAACGACTACATCTTTTTTTTATATTTTATATAGATATATATACTTAATTTTCATTGTCTACAGTCTATAAATTCCAGAAATAAAAAAGAATCTACCCTAAATATGTATATATTTTTGGGCAATAAATTCTGATAATTTTCTATTTCATCATCATCATCATCGCAGCCCGGAAGACGTCCACTGCTGGACATAGGCAATTTTCTATTTATTGATTATATATTTCAGAATTTATAGAGGTGTTGGCGTTTATTAAAATGTAGTTGTACCTATACTCGTATAGTATTTACGCCACAATACCTCACTAGCTACTCGTTTTTATTAGGTATTTACGTCTTTGTCTTAAACTAAATAGCAACTTTTGAAGTTACTACAAGTAAATCTGTTGCAAAAAATGCATTTATAGTTAAAAATATTATTGTAAAAAATGTTGTAAATAAATTATAAAATTTGGTAGACAGATTGCTATTACATATAATATATTATTATGTTTATTGTAAAAATGTATTAATTAAGTTACGATATAAGCGATTGTTTTATAAAAGGAACACAAAAAATAAATTATTTTAGAACTAAAGTTTCGTTTTACTTTCGTCAATCATTCTAAATTTGTATAATATTACAATTTATTTGAAAAAGACTCGTTAGAAATGTGAATAAAATTGAGGGTCATAAACAATACATACGAATGCAGCACAACTCTGACAATGAAAATAGTCCCTTTGTCTCAATTCTTTTTTAAATTAAAGCTTATATTATATAAATCTCTTTTTAAGTGATTGAAATGGAAAACAAACTGACTGTCGCCCACCTGATGGGAAGCGTCCTTATAAAATATAAAAATTATAAATCTCTTTCTTAGATAATGAAATTGTCATTTGAGTATCATTAAGCGGGTGTCTTAGATTGGCGTATATAATAGAATTTAATTACCGAGGGAGAGAAATAATTGGCGACTCGCCTGTAATGGCCACAGTTTATGGCCAAATTAATAGATCTCGCTGTATGCCTCGCTGGATCTCCCTCGGCTCATTTTGATATTAATTGTAGGCCTAGCAACCGACTGTTAGTATGCGGTATTTAACCAATTGGAAACAACTAGTATTTAGGTATTACAGATCTCGTCCGCACATGTAAAAGTTAATAAAAACTAGGTTACATATATTTCTTTCTAATGTATTATGAGAACAGAGATGCCTTTTAATAAAAAAAAAGAAAAAAGAAAAGCTGCAACTACTAGGTTTATATCTATAGGCGAGAGTTACATCTGTCTATCAGGTGGGCCGTCAGTTTGTTTGCTACAATAAGGCGAATAAAAATACAATATGACGCATGGAACGGAGCATAAAATGAAGCGTGACCGTCTTGCATCACAAGATTAAAGGGGGATAGAAGAAAAGTAGCTAACTATAAATCTGATAAACCATACAGAAAAGATGGATTGACCTCGCTCTATTAAAGTAGACAGATGAGTAATCACCCAGTATGGGCATGAATTTACCTTACCTATACGATAATTCAATTTGAATATTATATCCATTTCCTTTGAATTATTGAGTAACGTAACCAATCCAATCATAATATTTACCTATAGTAAAATTGTTAAATCATGACTAGGCAAAATCTGTCTGTGTTGAGAGATTTTTTGTATGGGTGATAACGTAATAGTACTTCCTTCTGCGATGGTGGGATATTAGTGGATATAAGATGAGATGAGGACGTGATCAGATCAGTTTGTCACTCACGACAAATCTCTTTCTCTTCTAACCCATGTTTCCAGTTTATCTGGGGTCGGGTGTCTATGTACATCTGCGCCAGAGAACTCTGTTCTGGGTTGTCGGAGTAGTAAGATTGTCCTGGTGCGTTTGCTTCTGAATATTGTTCCACCAAGTGGTGGGTATTCTGCCTCTACTTCTAATCGAGTTTGGTATCTTGAGCTTTTTTAGGCACTCACGATTAAAATCATCAGGAATTAATTACAAATATTCTCACGGGCAGACCGCGAGAAATTCAACCTTACATGCTAGCAATGGGATCACCAGACCCCATTACTGTGAACTTTTACATACTGTGAAATTTTGAATTTGGGTATGTATGAGTTTCTGTGTCTTTCTGTTACGTAAGAATTTAATAAACTACCTTAGCAAACTTTCATTTAAATTTAATTAAACATTTAAAAATGATATATTGACTCTAAAAATAAGTCAACATACGTTTATTTTTATAGATATAAAATAAACAGTTCACTTGGCACCGAGAGTGTCCTAAAAATGCAACATACTTAAAATTAGAAAAAATATTCAGGTAAATATAAAAAAGATTTTATATTATAACAGGTAAAACAAGTATCAGATATGTTATCGCGAAGCGTATAGTAGGAAGATATAACTTCATTTAACTCAACCTTGGAGACGCTATTCGATAATCCTTTGATCTTCCATCTCGGCTCCGTTCCTAGTGCTCCACTGAGCCCGCGAGGTTTCGATTCGACGAGGGTAATCGAATTAAGGAAGGCCCTACAGATACGCTAGTTGAGCGACGCTCGACGGCTGAGCATAGGGTGAGTGGGACGTTTAAAACGTCGCCGAAACATGAAGCGCATGATTGATCACAGACTCACAGCTTTATAGGAACATGTTGCTTACCTTTGATACAATAATCTTCAAAGATAAGACCAAACACACCGGATAATTGATAAAATTGACATTTATATAATAAGTTTGTTGGTTTTAAAACTGTTAACAATGCGTTTATGTGAAGAGCATTTAGGTCTTAACTGTTTTATATTATTTTCTGTGAAGTATCTGGTTTTAAATCTGTACTTTTGGTACAAGGTAGTGTAATTACTAGGTAGGTACAGTTAGTCCTCTGGAATAGCAGGCATGAGGAGTATCACAGGTTCTACAATGTATTTGTTGTGATGTCAGTAGCGTTATTATTCGTGATTTGCAACTTGCTTCCAGTAGGAATATACAAGTTGAACTTAACTTTTATGTAACTGAGAACGAACTCCGATTACTAAGAGACATAGATTAGAATGCCAAAACAAATAACTTTTATGTAACTGGGAACGAATTCCGATTGCTCAGAAACATAGATTAGAAAGCTAATGGTATCTACTGCTTAATATATAACAAAAACAATTACTTTCTTAAACGATTATATTCTAATTAAATTAATCAATGCTCACAAAGTATTGATAGGCATATGTTTGACGATTTATTTATAAAAAATATGTTCAAAGGTATGTAGAACCGACTCGTGTATTCGTTTGTAAACGCGTCAGCGTCTTATTTTGCCCGATGCCCAAAGAACCGCATAAATTACTGCTTTCCTGCGACTCGTTGAATACTGTTTTTATTTTTACTTTTTGTTTAACACTGGCAGCTTAATTTATGGTGTAGCACAATGTTAAACTACAAGGATTCCTTTCGAGTTATTTCACTGCTACATAGTCGTTTTGTACTGCAACATCTCTGTCACGGATTGGAATAAACCTATGAAACCTGTATTTAGTTAAAGCTCAAGGGTTGTGTCATCATAATAAAATGCAAATTGGCACAGATTTAATCCGGACTTATACTGCTAAGCTCAATAACTGTTAATAATCATGGGGAGATACGGAGGGCGACTAACTGGGTAATGTGTGGGTATGCCGACGGATAAGCGCCATACCATCACTTTATGTGGGATATTATTTTCTCTTTTTATTTAGTTCATTATATTACATTTTAATATTTATTAAAATGTTTTTTTTATAATATATCATGATTATATTTTTTATTACTTAAAAAAGTCCTATCATTCCAAAACTGTAATATTCATAATTTCGAATAGTATAAATAATAATGTTAATAATCATCCGTTTTTGTCTTATAGTAAAATTTAGAAGTAATAATCGAGACAATACGGTCTAAAACTCAACTTTCGTGTCACATATATAACTTTATGTTACTTAAAATGGTAATTTTTTTTGCATACAAGATAGGTATGCAAAAAATTTACCATTTTAAGTATATAATTATATTATATTTACAATACTTATTATTTAAAAAAAAATTCTTAAATTTCATGAATGTAATAAAACATTAAATATACATAGCACCAAACTTAATTTATGAGATTACAATTTAATACATATATCGATATCCATGTGAAGTCCCACAATTTCAGTATTCATTCAATTTTTCCTAAATCAACTTTTTGACTGAACTACATCCTTCACGCATACCAACAAATAAACAATATCGCAATCGACTTTGGCAATATTGATTATACTAGACAGAGTACATGAAAACTGATAATATTCAATAATTGCTTATATTAAATGTTATTAGTACTACTGTTATTTGTCATCAACTAGCTAACAATTAACCTGATTATCAATTTTATTTCAATTTAAATAGAAAATGAAACTACTTATTTTCAAAGTTGTTGTTTAAAAAGATTAGCCCACTTGCTTAAAAAATTCAAGGATCAGAGAGAGAGAGAAAATCGTTCTGAAATCTTTATTTAATTGAATAAGGATTGTAGATACCTAATATTAATTATTTTTTATTGGATGTTCAATTATTAATCAAAGGTATCTAATTTATGTCGAGACAGAGTTCTTCACCCAATTTATAATTTAAAAGGTATTCATTGCCTTTATCTTTTTTACTATGCAAGGTTGATTGTTTCTAAATTTCTATTTATGATTTAATTTAAATATCAATGAATCTAAATATTCTGTTAAAGGTGAAAGTACATACTTATTACGATTCATTTTTTTATATGCGTTAACAAGTTATTAGTCTATATAATATGAAGATGAATGTGTGTAACAAACTAAATCTTAATTTACTGCCCTTCTTTCGGCTTAAGCATGTGACATGATACATGAAGGTATTATAGAGTAAATTTCAATAATGAAATGTAAATTAATACCTACATCATCTTAGAGGATTACTACATCTCGTAATTCAATTAAATCCACCCATAATAAGTGTACGGCTGTACTGCTGTATATCCTAATGTTGTAATGTATTGTGTGACTATTCCTATTACTTAAATTAAAATAAGTATTCTTATATATATGTTACACGGAATCGGGCAGTATTAATGTATTTACTTAGATAATTTTATCCAAAATGTATCACAGTGGGCATTTTC